CAAATCCGTCACATACCCCACACCCAAATCCGTCACATACCCCACACTCAAATCCGTCACATACCCCGCGCTCAAACCCGTCACATACCCCGCGCTCAAATCCGTCACATGCCCCACACTCAAATCCGTCACACAATCTAACAATGATACAGAAACATACATAATGTGACCAATGTTGGCGGAATCCGTCGCATACACCCTGAAAGACCAAAGATCGGTCACTTGGGATGGGGTTGGCCAAAACCCTATCTAAGTGACTGATTCGACCTCAGATCGGTCACTTGAACATAGTCTGTGGGGAGAAACACTTGCGGCTCAGTCCCCAGTGGATTGATGTTAGTGTGAAATTCATCCTAGTTTTGTGACTGATGTGACCTCAGATCCGTCACTCACAGGGGGGGTCCGGAAGGAAGGCCATATGTGACCAATTTTCCACCATACATCCTGCAAGAAGTCTAGTAAACTCCGCTGCCGCACCTAAAACATCACCGAAAGGGTTTAGGATACCGACAATGAAGCGCATGATCACTGCAAAAATGCTCTGTAACCGTAACCTCAGTGCGAAGATTTTGCAAACACGCTCTTCTGGAGCACTGTGGCTTCATGAAGATGACATGCCGAGGAGGCTATTGAAGACGAAGTAAATTATTAATTGACTCTGCACAGCGCCAAAACACTTTAAAGTGGAATCACAGAGTCACGCAGGCGAAGCCACACTTCAAACTTGAGTACTATGAGCATCTATGAGCACAAAGTACGTCTGAAAATTGCACATGTTTGTTGAGCTTGGCATCAACTCTGGACTCTTTCAGCAGAGCGCGAACATTCGGCTTGAGCGGGGATCTGGCTTCTGCATACGATCAGAATCCTCAGCGGAGCGAGAATCCTCCAGCCAACTGTGCATCGGAGGCTGCGGGGCATTCCATGAAGAAGGAATTGCATTCTCCAAAGAAGCCAATGGAAGCAACGGCATGTCCTGCGCAAACATTGTCAAAAAAGAAGTCAACCATCAAGTTTTCCAAACAAAGAAAGTCCCTAGATGTCCCAATTGGGTCATTGAACATTAAACCTCTCTCCTCCCAAGCCAGCTTGGCTTTAGGTAGCTTCGCCAGAAAGAACACCCGTTGGCGCGAAGCCTTGTTTTCTTGAAATCGGTGAAAAGCTAATCAAGCAGCAAATGACTAGAGTAGTAGCCCAAAACACTTGCTGGCAAATGGCTGCCAGGCCGATGTTTTTGAGACTCACCGTGGCCCAATGGAGGCGCAATCCTCGTTCATGACAGGCCTAGCGAGTCATCTCTATAGTCACAGCAGTTTCAATGCTTGAATGCCTTCCTGAGAAACATCTTTAGCCAAATATTGAAAACTTGCTTCACACAATCGTCGCGATGTCCACACCAATTCAATCTAACTGCAACTAACTATGGCGTTTTCACCACACCGATGGTGCTTCGAAAAGACTTGTCTTGTTTGACTTAGACTGCTTCAACACAGAACGCACCTGGATGATGAACCACATCAGCTTTCGCATGGCCGGCTTCTTTGACAAGATCGATTTCACGTTCTCAAGCAGCAAAAAGGCCCTGGAGATCGATCGACATGCTACGACGGATCATCCAGGGTGTCGTACCCGTTGAAGGCCTCTCGGACGAGGCATGTCCTTGCATCCTGCAATCCTCTCTGCGAGGATGCGCAGGAGACTCCCTGGCAAAGAATGAGAGTGATAAGCTAGTGGCTAGCGCATGAGACAGAAGATCAGGCCTGACAAGGGAACCCGCCAACTACTCCACGGGCACAGGACACTCCGCAACCCCTGGCGTGCCATCCAACGACATCTTCCCATATCAAGGCAGCGTGTAAATTCCCGTTGGCCATGCGAGCGGTCAGGACATCACGCGCAAATGAGTTCTTCTCGATCTTAGTGTGAGATCAACCTTTTGCACAATCTAAGGGTGATGACGCAGAATCTAAGATGTGAACATAGCAAAGTGGGAACATCCACCTCAGAATCAGTTGGGGCGCAAAAGACACGAAGGAAAACAGTAGGCGTCAGCCTCAGCTGCAAAATGTCCACTTGGATTTGGGCATGAAAACTGACCCCAGAAAGTCTCCTCAATTAGCCAAAAAATACAGGTTTTGGAGGGGCCACGCTGGACTTCCTGGGGTCGGTTTTCATTGCTATATTCCAAGTGGAAAATTAAATTAGCAGCCTCAACTGCAACAATGCACGGCCATGATGCGAACACAGGAACACCATGAAGAACATTATTAATGGACACATTTTTCTACCTCTCACTGAGCACGAAGTTTTTTGGCTGGCGAAGGCTCTGGTTCCTGAAGGCTTGCACTCAATGCGTTGCTCTAGATTAATGAACAACTACCCTGAAAAACACAGCGAAATAATAGTTATGTCAAAACGCCCCACTCTTGGTTCCACGAATAGTAACTTCGGTGTCCAACCACGATTTTGTCGACCATGACCAAGTCCACCTAAGAAATCCAAAGGGCCCTAAAAGATTGCGTGATTGGACTCATGTCAGGGGCCCAAGCAGCTTTCCGTGCCACCTTGCATAGATTGGTGTGCCACATGGAACCCTGAGCAAACTGGACACAAAATACGAAGAAAGACCGGCTTCCTACACAAGCTTCTGAAAGCTGGCCTGATTTGATTCAAGCCAACGCAGCGCACTGATCCAAGCCCGTTGTCACAGCTGCGCCGCGTGGAATCGGCAAGGGACATGGCCACTGACTGCAGGCCAACTGCCAGTTAGCAAGTTCTGAAGTATATCAAGCAGTGGCAGTCGTTGATGTTACTGCAAATTGGAAGCTTCAACCGCCCATGAATCAGAGCCAAAAGAACCACATTTTGTGAAATAATTTCAATCGGTCTAGACATCTAAAGATGGGTGCCTGTCCTATACCACATAAGACTTCCTATCAACCATTTTCATTTCCCTTTGCCTTTCCCTTTCGCCCACCGCGGCCCTTGCCTCGGCCTTTGCCGCGGCCTTTGGCCAGCGGTGGAACGCGGTCATCTGCACTTTGAATGGCACGCTGGGACAAAGTCAAAGCTTCTGCCCACGGGACACCTTCTGCCCAGCATCGTGCTGCTGTATGATAAACAATAATTCGCGCGACGGGTGTACCCCGTTGCCATTGCGTGCAAATGGTCAGGCTTCTCCAACCTTGAACTTGGCAACATGGAAAATACAAGTAAGCGTGGCAAGCGCAACTAGTAGGCAATCAACTAGTTACTAACTAGAAGCGCATCCATGGGGCCGAAGAGGGTTTGGTGGCACGTGAAAATCATCTGTCTGAAGGCGAGCGAATCCACCAGGCTGAGGGCCACAATTGATGGTGACCCTCAGGAAGAGCATCAGTAAGACTGCACAAGGAAAGACAGGCATGAAAAAACAATCGTGCAGAAATCGATCGCAACTGAACAAAATGGCAAGCAACGCTGAGACTGGCAAAGCGGGCGCGAGTACTTGTGTGCCGCTGACCCAGTTCTCCAAGTAATCAGCAGCCCTGAAAGCTGTGTTCCCGGTACTCTTCCGAGATTGGGTTCCGCTCAGCGAAGCCTTAAGGGAGACTCAATCAAACAAAATCCAGGTTTTGAATGTGCGTGAAAACAAGCAGGTCACAGTCAATGCGGACAGAAGGCTTGCAGGCACTCCAAGCATGAGTCGTTGCTGGGCGACTTCTCGCGGATAGAAAAGAAACGCGGCGTCGTAATCGCTGTTATGCATCCACCGTTTGGTCCTCGCAGTTTTCAATAGAAACAACAGTCACTGCCTTAACACACTCGTTCTTTCAGCATTGTTGGCACGTTCACATTGCTACACCCCGCCTCAGGATGACATCATCTGGAGAGGGGTTGCAGCGTCGCCAGTAGCTACTGTCGATTGCATCATCAGCTACACCTGCCAATGACACAGAGGTTATCTGAAAATTGAACCCGTGAACTGTTTTGCACCTCAGACTAGTGTTGAGTTTATGCAAGCATGCAAGGCGCTGCAAAGATGAACGTCAAACATTGCTCTATTGGTGGTCTGATGCCAATCTCAACCCGACTGGAACGTTTCTTTCGTGGCTAGCAATCATAATTCTAGGGTGTATGCTGGAGATCTGGAAATTCACTAAGCGGGACCATCATGTCAAATTAATTAAGCAACTGTTTGTTGAAAAAGATGAAGACAAGTTGAAACAACAGGGTTTTGAAGAGAGGAATGCCTGCGTCAGATCTGCGTTGCAGGTGAAACAAGTGCGGGGCACCTGGCCCTCCCGTGCCGGTTAAGGACACTGGAACTGACACTGCATAAAAAGATCTCCTTGGAGCGCGAAGTCAAGTGAAGACCTCTTAGCCATGAGTTCAAAACGTTTGCAACGCAACCAAACCATAGTCACAGTGACTAGTTTCTTTGCGCAAACTCAAAGCGTCCAGTCTCGCACCTGATCCAGTTTGATACAATGGCGATCCTTCTCGCGCAATTTTGCTTGCGCCAAGAATTTGCGCACCCACTGCACAACGTCGTCAGCGGTGAGAAGCTTCTTAGCTTTCAGTAGATACCGGGATACAGATCCAAATAGCTGATCAACGTCTTCGTGACTGTGTCCCGACCGAAGGTGCTGCATCCTGACGGAATGCAGCACCTTGGCCGAGACCAGTCCCGCTGCCCACCTCAGCGTCATGCTGTTCTTCAGCTCTCTGCTGGTGTTGTCACACGGTTCGCAAGCAGATCCCCTTCTGTTGGAGGAGTTCCAACCCAAAAGATATCAATTCCAATGACGCGTTGCTGTCCTTCGCCACGTTCATGTCCGATACTGCGAACACAACATCATAGCCGTGTATTATTAGGCAGCTGCAATGAAGTCGGGGACGCTGGAATGTTGAGAATTCCTTGGATTTTGTGATTGCACATCTTGGAATTGCATATTTTGATTGATCCATACCATCACAAATACATGTGATGGTATGGCCACCACCTCTGCTCAAACCTCTGTCGGCCCAGTACTGGGTTCGGTCCAAGTATTGCGCCCTCAAATGCAATGCGTAAAGCCGCTGTTGGGCGGCCTGGGCCAGCAAGTGGCCACTCAACATTTTGACCAGCGCACGATGCCTTATGCATGTGGTGCATTCGTGGTGCAAAGTCTCCGGGCGGTACTTTAAAAACGGGAACTCGCTCTGCCACACCTCACTAAGTGTTTCTGAGCGTTTGGAGGCGCAAAAAATCTTCAATCGGATTTTATGCTAAGAATCGACTGCGTTGGCCAAAAAAACTTTTCTGTCGCTAAAGGCAGGAAACGCGCCAGAACGATGGGAATGAAGCAGGTGCCTGCAAGTGAGATGCCAGCCTGTACTGTTCAAATTGGTCCTTCATTCGGCCAGGTGGTAAGTAGCGGTCCTCTGGACCACCAGCAGCTGAGGTTCTTTGGCAGAAGCTCCACACCTTTCGCTCGTTTGCGTGGCTTCTTTTTCTTTGCAGGGCGGGTCAGGCTGAGCTTACCATTCTGCGCATCAGCCATCGCTTTTGCGTACGGGTCTTCTTCCGCGCCATCACTACCAGCTCGCACGTTCAAAACCAACTCCAACTCTCCCGACTCTGCAGTGTCGTCACGAACGTCTGGCAACGTTTCAGCACAGCTGTTGTAGAGGTTCCACAAAAAGCTGGAGACATCAGCTCGCACATCAGAGCCACCCATGCGCAATCGTGGCTTGGTCAGATATCGCAAGTCCACTGGTGGACACCTCTCGTTGTTTTGGACTGCGGTATACAACTTGCGAAACCTTCGCGTTCCTGAGATCAACTCAGCATACAATGTCAACAAGCATTTGTAAGGAGAGCAAGGAACATAACCCTGGTTGAGGGCTGGGTTAAACATCTAACACCGGGTCAAAACGGTGGGAGAATGAAGTCATACAAAGGGTCAACCAGCAACCGTCACCGAAAACATCTTCCAACAAAAGGGGTGTTGTCTGAGGATTAGACAGCGCTGTAACCTGGCTATCAATGTGCTTAGCTAGGTAAAAGCTCTTGACAAAATGCACTACTTAAGTAAATCCTGAAGCAAAGAGCTCAAATCTTGTAAACGAAGCCATGTCCGAAGGAAAAACTGTTTTTCCAGCAATGTCCATGCGCAGAAGCCAGAATCCTCTGACAGTCTGTTGACCTCCCTGATGGCATCAAAAACCTGAAGAGTGGACATAGAGTGAAGAGTGGACATAGAGACTTTCACAAAATTATCGCACTGACTTAGGAAGCAAGAATTCCAAAAACCAAAAAACGACCTCAGGCGAACCATGACATAAGCGAAGAAACAAAGCTGTCTTGATCTAGTTTGTGAAGCTCATGGTAAGTCTTTCGGTATGCCAACAGCGATTGAAAAGCATCTGCAGCCTCAAACTCCCTCAGGCAATTGCGTCTCTTGCATTTGCAACGCGAGCCCACCAGAGCTCGTAGCGCAGTCTCTTCTTTGACTTCTTTCTGTCTTGGATTCTCTTCTTCTACTACTTTCTTTTTTCGTCTTCTTTTCGGTTTCGGCTCTGGAACAATGTCTTCTTCGTCCTCACTCTCCGACAGGCACACAACATCTCGGGGCGTGAGAAGCGAGCATCTCTGGGACAAGTTTCAAGGGGTGGCAAAACAAAGACAGAGGCCAGGTTGCACCCGACTTCACCATGCAATGGAATAGTAATTTACACAAAAAGAAAGACTTGACTTAGTCACCAAGTGTTTGCATTGCACTGTGTCACAACCTTGAGCCTTTACATACTGGCGCTGGAAAGTGAAAGGCGTTTCAAAGCATGAGCGAGTATGGCCAAAACCAATGAAAGCTGTGCTCAACCAACACAATCAGAACCTGAACTCAGGAAAACAATCCAAAACATGTAGCGCTGACAAGCGTGCAACTAGTGACAGCTTGCGCAAAAACATTTCCAATTCACTCTTGAGTTACGCGAGCAGAACACTTGCCATTCACCTTGCCTTGAAACATCCCAACCCATGGCACCCCACATCCATACCAACTTGAGGTGGTTCTGGTTTTACTCACATCGAGCATCTATTAAGTAAATCTCAGGCCTTCCTTCACTGCTGACTCATTTGGCCAATGTCTCGTAGAAGGTCTGCAGTGTTTGCAGCTGGAGGCTCAGGCTCGGGACAGTCACGGTCTGGGAAGCCTTGATTTCATGAGAACGGAGAAGCTTGCAGAAGTGGTTGGACAGAAATTCTCCAACCCATGTATTATATTCAAAGAAACCGCATTGTTGGCGACGAGCAAAACCTTCTACCAAGGCGGTAAACTTGATTGCGCTCATCCGGACCACTGATGTCAAAGCTTTTGATTCCTGACTCAAAAATTCAGGAGGGTCCTGAACAGTCAAATGATCACCTGGCAGCACTGCAATCAGTGAGTGTGATTCAACCCGAAATGGGTGAGCGCTGAAAATCACTGGAGCATCAATAAGGCTTCCTCCTTGGTGATCTCTGGAAAGCTGGAAACGTTCTTGTGAAGGAGCCTCACGACACAAGACATGATCTGATGACATATCATGAAGCTTACTGTAATGAAATTTGTAGTTCCAATCTCATTTGATGAAATGCGCAATTCAGAAACCATTCCTTTTCCTTGCTTAGATGAGTCACGAGATCACGCTTTTCGTATCCTGCGCGTTCCTGGGCGCAATCAAAAAGCAGCAGCGTTCTTCTCCCAAAATCTCCGCTGGTCCTGCAAAATGATGTATTGCGCGACAAGAACTCTTGGGGAAGATTCCAAACAAACATCGCATCAATTTGAAGACTCACTGTGCTCAAAAACATGAAAGGGAAATCGTTTTAGCCTAAAGACATATTGCTAAAGGCAACCACCACCACATCGCCGTCATTCTCCGCACAGGTCTTGTTCATGGCAGCCTGCAGATTCACAGACTCACCAATTGTTGAAATTGACTGGGCCAATCACCGCCAAGGCGTCAGCTTTGCAAATATGAAAGTTGCCAGCGGCAGTCTGGCGAGGGCCTGCGCTGAAAAAACAACTTCATTTCTTCTCAAACATTTCAACAGCGCTGTGTACACTGAATAGTTACCTCAGGTGTTCCCAGCCTTCAGAGGACTGAGCAGGCGACGTTGCTGCCGCTCTATTTTTCTTTCCCCGACCCATGAAATTGCGAAACGAATCTAAATTCTAAACAACAAACTGTCCACTGCCAGCCAAATCTAAGCGGCGAGCAATGGAAATTCATGTTTCGTCCATTTCCATCAGCTTTCAAAAAATGACTTGGCTGCCAACAACTCTGAAAGTAACAGCGAATTTGAGGGCGTGGCTGGCTGAGACCTAAATCTAGGCCTCCGATCCCTGAGAACATGCTGATCATGCTCTCCTTGCCAGCCTGCCAGAAGAAAACACCACCAAAAGCTGTTGAGGAACTGTTCAACAAGCCTTGCTCAAAGCATCGGGCCAGTCTTTCTTGAATTGGACTTTGTCCACTGCATCACATCTTGGGCTGCTCCACCCAGCAGGCAAACCTTCCCAATGGTTCAAATGTTCAAAAGCAACATCAAACAACGTAGACAGTGATCAATCGCCTGAAAACCACTCAGCTGCGCTGCAGCTGAGAAATCGCTTTCCTGGAGACACACCATGGTCGCGGATGGCATCCTGGTACTTCTGCGAGAACTTCACCTGGTTGGCCAAGTCCTCAAGTGACATGACAGTTGATCATTCATCCAAGTAACATCTACAGTTTCTCAGGTTGTGGCACTCATGGCTCTCTGACTGCATGAGCTCGCGTTCGAGGTTGCTATGGTGGTGCCACTGAAACAACCTGAGGGAAAGGTGAACCAACTGGTCCTCACCAAACACCGTCGTGAACAGGATTGGGGTTCTGGCGAATCGTGCTCCAGGAAGTGAACCGTTTCTCACCCTTGAAGACGCAAGCTCCCTTCTTGGTCTTGAGGTTGGTGGAACGCTGAGCAACCACTAGATCTAACTTAGGCGTCTTTCCGAGCTTCAGGTGGAAGCGGCGCACGGATTGGTTCAAAGCTGCTGCAAACACGGGTAAAACAGAAGACTTGAAAGTTCCAAACCTGGCACAGGTTCCAAAACCATGCTGTGTCCTCCTGCCCTTGGCTTTGGTCTTTTTCTTTACAGCTGTTACCTGCAACAGGCTGGCTGCCAAGCGGACTAAAATACCCAGGAAGAAAAAAATAAAAACGGAATTCGGGAACCTTACTGCGTCCACGTGCAGCTGGCTTCTTCGAAACCATCACCAAGTGGTCTTATTAAAATACGCACCTTCACCAAGTGGTCCACACACCTTTCAGATGTCTTCTTGAGTGCCAGGCTCAGAATCTGTCAGTTTCTCCACAGGCCGAGGCATGGCGAGCCAAAAGACACCCCGTGGCCCGTCGGATCAAAAAAGAAGCTGCGTGGAACCGGCAACGCTCCACAACTTTGTTTGGATTCTTCTGCTTTGCTGCGTATGTTCCTCATCAATGAGGGACATCTGGCCATAACAGACCTAGTAGATGGCCTGAACATTCTTCAAATTCTTGTACACACTGCATATGTTGCATGTACATGTACATGTTCTACACAACTGCTCAGGCAGCATCATACCAGAAAAACGTTTTTCCTTTCAGGGCGCAGATTCAGTGTTGAAAGCAACATAGCTCCCAATCGCTGATTGTGTTGCGGTGCTAATATCCAAAGGCAAGTTAGAACACCCAATCACTTTGGAACACCCATTCACCAGAAAGCTCTATCACAACGGAACAATTTTGGAATGTGATGATCATCGATCGACTACGCTTGGCTTTGACCCTCAGCTGACCGAGACAATTTACCTGTTGTGGCTAGTACTATGCCGCTTAACCAGCCTGATCTGGCGCCGACCTTTGCGCTAGCCTTCGAAAGGCCTTGACGAAATGCTAGGAGATCGCTTTGCATAGCTGCATTTTTGGCCGCCACTTGGCTAATATGACCCACGAGGTTGGGCTTTAGACACACCCGATGTGTCCGGTAGATGCCTTTTACTGCAGCCCAACACGAGCAGCCTGAAGCGGCTGCTGGAAGATGAAATGAAATGAAAATGAAATGAATAATTACACCAGCATAGACCCCAGATAGCAAAAACATGCAAAAGATTTTTCTGGAATGCTGAATACTAAAAGCCTACCCAGCACCAACAGCACTGGCTTCCCAACCAACATGACTCATGACATTTTCAATTAGCGGTATACCTTCGACATCCGTTTCCAAAATAACCCTCTGTCAAACTCTAAAGAAACATCATCTTCACACACTAACGCATATGGATGTTCGCAAAACTCCAACAACCACATCCACAGCTTTGGAATGAGAGCGTGCGAAACAACGCTGGCCTGCCGGCGCCCAGCACCGGCACCCTGTGTCTGCCACGCACACGGCCAGCGCCAGCACCCAGCGTCCACAGCCAGCACCAGCACCCGGCGCCGGCACCCTGTCTCCACCATGCCCACCCGGCGCCGGCACCCAACACAAGCACCCTGTCGAAGGCATACGCAAACAACCAGCACCCGGCCCCGGCGCTGTCCCCGCCACGCCCCAGCACCCAGCACCGACCCTGTTTCCACTACCAGCACCACGTGCACAGCCAGCTCACAGCACCAACACAAGCACCCGGCACCCAACACCAGCATCGGCGCCAGCAACCTGTCTCCACCGCGTGCACAGCCAGCTCACAGCACCAGCACCGGCACCCGGCACCCAGCACCAGCAACCTGTCTCCACCACGCACACAGCCAGCTCATAGCACCAGCACCAGCATCGGCGCCCAGCACCGGCAACCTGTCTCGAAAGCGCGCGCGTGTAATTCATTGTTATTTGAAGTAAGAACCCCCTAG